GCCTGGTAGAATCAAATGCCACCATAGATGATATAAAATATGACGGTAGCTAGTGAGCTACTGTGATGTCATGCATTGGCTTCTGAAGTCCATTTTGAAGCTTTGGTTTAAAAAAAAAAAAAATACAATAAGATGTGATGAGGAGGGTCAAATATGACTGAAATCCACTCTCACTGGCTAACTACACGTGACTGACAGTTTCTCAGTGAATAGGCATCATACGGCTTTACTGTAACTTGGAAAGTAAACGAATACACAGGAAACAAAATAACACACTGACTAGACAGTTAATGAAGTTAAGCTAGCTGATGGACTGTAATGATGGTGGCTGGTGGCTAGCTACAGAGCTGTGGTTTTGCTAATATAATCACAGTAGCACAGGGAAGATGTAAGAAGAGGGTTGGTTTGATCTCAATGAAAGGTCACGGCCTGGGGGATCAGCAGGGCGCTGATTCTCTCTCTCTCTCTCTCTCTCTCTCTCTCCTCATTGCGGGTTCTTGCCCTCGGCCCACACCCCTCAGAGGAGGAAGCACCTGAGGTTCATTAACGCAACCAGTATTTAAGCCAGGTGATGACTGCTGTTCTTGGCTGGAACGTTGTGTTTGACTCGCGTTAGTGTTGTCAAGTTGCCAGCTAAGTTTCCCCTTTGTGTTTCTGAGCAACAAACATTTTCCTGTGTACAGACTCCCTTGACCTTTTCCCCGTTTCCCGTGTGGTGATAGTTGGAGAAAGAGAGCCTGATCATGTTTGTGGATTAATGGAAGAGGAGCGAGAGTCCGTTTCCCTGGATTTCCCTGGATTTCCCTGGAGGCCCGTCCCCCCACTTTTGTACATAGCACTATTTCTGCACATTCGTATATACATTCAGTGAACTGTGTAAATAAATTGCTTGTGAAGCTTCCTATCTCGGAGTCTTGCATATGAGTCCTCACGAGAAACCGTAACAGTAACGATCCAGCCAACCATGGACTCAGCAGACTCAACCCCCACCCTGCAGCCTGTCCTCACCCCGGAAGCAATTCTGGAACGCCACAAACAAATGCTACAGCACACTAACCAGCAACTGGCCATGCTCACCCAAGCCCTCGCTCAACGCCCATCCACACCTCCAGTGTGGAAGCCGGTAACATGTCTCTCCAGTTACCGGCTTCCGAAGCTCTGGGGCCTGTACCATCTACCTCTTCCACACCGGCTCCTCCAGAACCCCCAGAGCAATCTTTACCCGCTATGGAGTCTTAACTCAACTCACCCAAGGTTCCTGTCTGCTGGGATGAGCCTTCTCTCATCTGAAGCAACGTTTCGCCTCGGCACCCATCCTTTTCCAACCAGAACTCAGTCTACAGTTTGTCGTGGAGGTGGACGCTTCGGATGGGGGCCGTGCTCTCCCGGCAACAAAGTGGTAAGCTTCACCCTTGTGCTTACTTCTCTCGCCGTCTCTCCCTCGCAGAAGGAAATTATGACGTGGGAGACCAAGAACTGCTAGCCATCAAGCTCGCCCTGGAGGAGTGGCATCAGTGGCTGGAGAACGCTGCCCAGCCATTTGTGGTGTGGACGGACCACAAGAATTTGGAGTATATTCAGTCAGCTAAACGGCCAAATGCCAGGCAAGCCAGGTGGGCCCTGTTTTTCACCAGATTCCAGTTCACGATCACCTACAGACCTGGCTCTCATAACGTCAAACCTGGCGCTCTCTCATGCCAATTCACTGCCTTGGAAGACACAGCTCAGGACTCCCCCATTCTCCCTCCCACGTGTGTTATTGGGACCCTGACCTGGGAGATCAAATCTTCCATTAGGGAGGGTCGTTGAACAGAACCGGGTCCCGGAACGGGCCCTCCAGGTTTACTCTTTGTAGCACTCGTGAGCTCTGCTAGGTCACGAGTGCTACATTGGGCTCACCTGTCACCCTGGGGTCCACCGCACCATTACCTTCCTTCAGCGCTTCGCCTGGTGGCACTCTCTTGCCAAAGATGTCTGTGAAAGAATTGCCACTTGTGCCCAAAACAACAACGTCCATCAGCCATCTTCCAGCCTACTCCAACCACTGCCTACGCCAAGCCGCCCCTGGTCGCACATTGCTATCCACTTCATCACCGTTCAGCCACCTTCATCAGGTAACTCAGTCATTCTCACAATCATCGATCGCTTTTCTAAAGCTGTTCATTTTGTCCCCCTCCCCAAGCTCCCCTCTGCTTTAGAGACCACCCAGCTCCTGACTGACCACGTTTTACACCTCCATGGAATCCCCACAGACATCGTTTCAGACAGGGGCCCCGCGTCTGGAAGGAATTCTGTAACGTCGTCAGAGGTCAGGTCAGTCTTTCCTCCAGTTTCCATCCGCAGACAAATGGCCAAACGGAGTGGGCAAATCAGGAGCTTGAAGCGGCGCTCCAATGCTTGACATCCACCAACCAGACGAACAACTCCCATGGATCGAGTACGCTCACAACAGCCTCACCCTCCCCTGCCACCGGAGTGTCCCCCTTCGAGGCGTCCCTAGGCTACCAACCACCTCTGTTTCCTGCCGTTGAAGGTGAGCACTTTGTGCCCTCTTTCCAGCAGCATTTCCAGAGGTGTCGGCGCGCCAGGAGAGCCACCCAAGCCGCCCTTCTCTGCATGGCCGAGCGCTTGGCGGACTGTCACTTGCCCCCGGCACCACCTTACACGCCCGGACAGAAGGTTTGGCTGTCTGCCAGGTTCATCCTACTCAGGTCCGATTCCAGAAAACTATCTCCCACCTTTATCTGCCCGTTTGAAATTGACACCCTGATTAACCCTGTTTCTGTCCATCTAAGACTGCCCCGGAATACACGGATTCACAATGTCTTCCATGTGTCACAAGTGTAACCTGGTCTCTCTAGCCTGATCGTATTTGTGGATTATTGGAAGAGGAGCGAGAGTCTGTTTCCCTGGATTTCCCTGGAGCCCTGTCTCCACACTTTTGTACATAGCAGTATTTCTGCACATTTGTATATACATTCGGTGAACTGTGTAAATAAATTGCTTGTGAAGCTTCCTATCTCGGAGTCCTGCATGTGAGTCCTCATGACAAACCGTAACA